GCTGAAGCAAGTATAAGAGAATGCATTCAACAATGAGACTGACAAGAGACTGAGTTCTTTACATATAATTAAAGACCCAGATGATATTTTGAGATTAAAGACAAAAATATGTTTCAGAGATGATCATCAAGAATTCCATTTACCCATTATACTACTTCCATCCAGTTATCCAGTTCTGAAAGCTCTCATTATTTAAAAGCACGAAAGTTTAGGACATACTGTATTTCAAACACTTATGAGCGGACTTAGAGAGAGAATTATTGGATTCTGAAAACTAGAAAAACTGTTAAAAAAATAATCGGGTCTTATATCATCTGTAATATGCTCAAGAAGAAACCTGTATCAGAAGGAATTTACCTCAAGATCGCATAAGAGATGCAGCAATTTTCGAAATCATCTGAATAAATCTTGCAAGTCTCTCATTCTCAATGGAGGAGAAAAAGCTTGGATTTTGATTCTGACTTGCGCTGTCTACTGTGCTGTATATCTCGAATTGTTAACCTCGATCTCGATTGAAAATTTTCTTGTAAGCTTGAGGAGATTTATAGCAGGAAGGGAAGACCAGCTGTCATTTATTCAGACAATGGATCTAATGTCAAAGGCACTTCTAGGCTCTTAGAGAAGGTGGATTTAGAGAAATAAAAGAACACAGGAGAGCTAAGTCCAGTTACGTGGAAATCCATACCTTATAAAAGCCCCCTGGTGGGGAGGCGTCTGGGGAAGGTTTATTGGACTTATGAAGAGAGCTTCTAGGAAAATTTTAGGTAAAATATCATTAAATCACGAAGAAGGGAATACTGTCTTATGCGATTGTGAAAGTTTGATTAACTGAAGACCGTTGACTTATGTTTCGGAAGAGCCCGAAGACTTCGAACTTCTGACTCCTGCGATGTTCTTACCAGGCATTAGAAACGTCAGCGTACCCGAGTTTGATAGCATACAAGAAAATAATTTAAGGAAGAGATTTGCTTATCGCGTTATAAGGTATTTCCCCCCGCATTTCTTTGCATCCCTTCGTGGTGTAGTGATCAGCACAGTCGGCGCCTATTCGAGAGGTCCGTGGCTCGAGTCTCGGCGAGAGCACTGATCATTTTTCACTTCTCCTGCTTAGAAATAACATAATGTCTCCACAGTAGCGCCCGAACTAAAAAGTAGTGAATGATGATTCCCCACCACCAGGATTTGACGATTGGGTCCCCTAATCCCCTAATCTCCAGTCGTCCTATAAAAGGGGTATAAGGTATTTCTCCTGCTTTCCTAGCGTGCCTTCGTGGTGTAGTGGTCAGCGCGTATTCGAGAGGTCCGTGGTTCGAGTTCCGGCGAGCATATTTCACAAGTACACATCAGCGTAGCCACTGAGGGAGGGGTTTCGAAAATAGACAAATCGCTTTTATCGCTCTTGTGACGCTAAATCTTCATTTATGTGAGCATAAGTTTACTTTTTAATTTGCATTTGTTTCGCAGTTATAAATGTATGGCACAATAGTAGAAACTCTCGTAGTTCTTTCGTTTTTATGAGTTTAATTAATCGCTGATATTTCACTTTCGCGATGTTTATCACGCATTGATATTTGGATTGATGTTTACGGCATATTATCGCTCTTTACATCGAAAAAATGACTCAAGCTAAAATTAGCCTCGAATATTATGCATATTATGCATTTATTAACACCTGTGGATTAAGAGAATTCAAGCGTATATATATATAATATAAAAAAATATGTTGGCTTTGCTCTACTCGAACCAGCAACCTTTAATTAACTTTCTGCAATTTAGGATCTTCCCCCTAGACCAGTACCTTCTTGCGAGCCTAGTACGTAACCGCTACTATGAATAACGAATGCGCACCATTCTGCGTCAGAAGCTCGCCTCTCCTCCTGTGCTATACATCCCGCTGCTGCTTGATCTATCTTTCCCTTTGTTAAAAATAGTAATGACGCATAAAGTTTAAATTTGTCGTACTTGATTTAAACTACTATTGAATATGTGATTTAGAGAATTTCATATGAAGTAAAGCATGAACTAAGGTAAAAATTGAATTCAAGCTATGAAATAAAGATGTACCATTAACAACTAAATCAACTTGCCTTTTCATTTGGATTAGCCTTACCACTCTGCAAAAACCATGCCTGAACCTTAATGCCCAGCTTCACCGCGACTGCCAACATATCACATATATACAATGAAGTGACAAAAGTCATGGGATACCTCCTAATATTTTGTCGGTCCTCCTTTTGCCCGGCGAAGTGCAGCAACTCGACGTGGCATGGACTCAACAAGTCGTTGGAAGTCCCCTGCTGGAATATTGAGCCATGCTGCCTCTATAGACGTCCATAATTGTGAAAGTGTTGACGGTGCAGGGTTTTGGGCACGAACTGACCTCTCGATGATGTCCCATAAATGTTCAATGGGATTCATGTCGGGCGATCTAGGTGGCCAGACATTCGCTGGAATTGTCCAGAATGTTCTTCTAACCAATCGCGAACAATTGTGGCCCGGTGACATGGCGCATTGTCATCCATAAAAATCCCATCGTTGTTTGAGTACGTGAAGTCCATGAATGGTTGTAAGTGATTTCCAAGTAGCTGAAGGTATCCATTTCCAGTCAATGATCGGTTCAGTTGCACCAGAGGACCGAGTCCATGCCATGTAAAAACAGCCAGACCATTATGGAACCACCACCAGCTTGAACAGTGCCTTGTTGACAACTTGGGTCCATGACTTCGTGGGGTCTGCGCCACACTCGAACCCTACCATTAGCTCTTACCAACTGAAATCGTGACTCATCTGACCAAGCCACGGTTTTCCATTCGTTTAGGGACCAACCGACATGCTCACGAGCCCACGAGAGTCGCTGCAGGCGATGTCGTGCTATCAATAAATGCACTCGAGTCGGTCTTCTGCTGGCATAGCCCAAGGAAGACAAATTTCGCCGCACTGTCCTATCGGACACGTCCCTCGTACGTCCCACATTAATTTCTGCGGTTGTTTGACGCTGTGTTGCTTGTCTGTGAACATTGACAACTCTACGCAGACGTCGCTGGTCTCGGTCGTTAAGTGCAGGTGGTCGGCCACTGCGCTGTCCATGGTGGGATGTTATGCCTGAAATTAGATACTCTCGGCACACTCTTGACACTGTGGATCTCGGAATGTTGAATTCCCTAACGATATCCGAAATGGAATGACCCATGCGTCTAGCTCCAACTACCATTCCGCGTTCAAAGTCTGTTAATTCTCGTCGTGCGGCCATAATCATGTCAAAGCCTCTTCACATGAATAACTTTGAACACAAATGAAAGCCCTGCCAAAGCACTTCGCATTTATGCATTTTCTATGCGATACTACTGCCATCTGTATATTTGCATATTGCTATCCCATGACTTTTGTCACTTCAGTGTATACTGGACTGGAAGTGTTACAATGAATCTAGTGTTTTCTTATTTCAGTGCTTGCACTCTTTTGGTTTTTAAAGTGTAAGATTCAGAATACATATTGTGTTTGATCTGAATATATCCATTGTTAATATTAAAAGTTATATGTGAATAAATTGAATATATTCGTTGTGAATAAGATAAATTCATTCTGTTTGATGAATATTTCTTGTGTAAACAGTACATTTAAGAGTGAGCATTTATTAAATGTGAAATTTAACACACTAAATGAATACGAATGCAAATTATTAAAGTTCACTTTGAATAAAATTCTGCATTGGCTATTATTATAGAACATCTTTTTCATATAGACTGCAATAAACAGTGCTGACTTCTATTTACATATTCAATTGGTGTAAATATTTTTCTCATATGCATAGTTGTATGTAAAGATAGCATTTGGGATCAGATGTTTGAAACATATTTCTTTCTTCATCTTATTTACCACTTGTTAAGTAATATTTCACACGGATATTTTGACAGAGGCTTTGTATTTGTACGGCAACATGTCTTTGTATTTATTTCAAATTCTTTCAATCAGGTAATGAAATCTTCGCAATTTCTTATATTTGATCTAACTTCGCAATAAACGTTTTCAGAAGAAATCGACGATGCTTTTGTACAGAAAATTGCGTGACAAAATATTTTCAACCATCTTGCTTGAATCTTAAAGCACGCAAAAGGTCATGTGGCATGATAGAAATATTACTGGATTCCCATTGGTCCATCCTAGAAGCCATTCCCTCGGTGGCTACACACATGTGCACTTGTGAAATATGCTTCCGGCGAGGGCATTGCTCATTTTTCACTTCTCCTGCTTCGAAATAACCTAATGTCTCTACAGCGTTAGAGTGAAAAGGAATCTAAGAAAGTATTTTAAAGCTGAGTAATTAGGGAAATTGCGAAAACTGCATAAGGTAAAAAAGGAAATATTTTAATTGAAAGGGATATAATTTTTTTGGAAATGATCATACGAAAAATCTGAACTGGAATTTGGGGCGAATAGTGAAACTCTATCCTGGAAAGGACCATCGTGTTAGAATAGCTCTTGTTAAAACGGCATATGGTTCCTTTTTGCGTTCTGTGAGAAAAGTTTCCCCATCGGAACTGCAGGGGAAAAAAAAAAAAAAAAAAAACTAACATTCAAAATGTGGTTCCTTTTTCCGTCCTGTGAGACGATTGTTCCCGTTAGAGGTGCAGAGAAAAGGAAAAAGCAACTTATTGTCCTACAAACATTCCTCCTTTTTCAGATTTATGGGCGTTTTCGTGGTTTTCCCCATGTGTAACGTGTATACGAGCCAGTTTCCCTTAAAAAGTCCTCCACGAAGGCATCCCTCCCCTTAGGCAGATAGCCCTAGTGTGCTTTGCCATAATTAAATAAACCAAACCAACCTTTTTCAGATTCTCCACGAAGGCACACCTTCTCTTAGTCAGATAGCCCTAGTGTGCTTTTCCAAACCTAAAATAACCAAACAAACCTTTTCCAGATTCCTATGGCCCGTTAATTTAGAACCAGGTTCAGGTAGACACCGAAAGGCGAGAACTACTAAACTATCAATTCTGTTCCAGTGACAATGACAGTGCAGCTGTGCTGGCGAGAACAACGGAGACCTTCAGACTATCAACTGATGATCCAACTCCTGTTCGAACATCGAAGCCTTTATCATTCACGTTAAGATAGACTTCTAAAACCAACGGAAGAGACTGTTTCACTGTTGATTGAATTTTACCAATAAGTTGTTTAAAACTCGAAGAGGAGAATATAGCCTCAACGCAAACAGAAAGAACAGACATTTTTGTTTATTAACAATGGCAACAGTAGCTCAGTTGTTTAAAAAGAACAGACATTTGACGTCGGCTGTAATTCTTTTTAGTATGGTCAGTGACTTTGTCTAAATATGCTGTGTTTTTAGCTACATTTCTTTTTGTGTGCGTCATAAGATGAGAAATAAAAATGATTTCTACAAAAATTAATCTTCTAGTACTGCTTGATGATATTCTACCTCAAAAGCTCGTGCCAGATTTTCGATCCTTTGGAAGTAAAAGGGTAAGTGAAACCTTTTTTCTAAATTTAGAATTTCAAACATTTGAAATGAAAAAAAAAAAAAAAAAAAAGTTACTTATAATTTTTCAACAATGTTATGATATCTTTGCTATATGTCCATTTATTTGTCAGCTGTATAAAAAATTAAATACCAATTTTTAAATCAAATATTAGATTTTAAATTTCATATTAAGGCATGGGTTTCATAATACAGAATGATCAGGAATGGGTTTCATTTTTGCTTCAAATTAAAACAACATCATATTAAAAACGTTTAGACATTATAGATGTAAAAAATGTTTCGGTGTTAGCAAACAGACTCTAACAGCGATCTTAACGATCTTCAAAGTTCATAGCAGTAACCTTCATCACTTCGTCAAATGTTTCATTCTCTGTTTTCAGGATCTGCATCTTAGAGCATAATAATAAAGGGTGTCTTCTCCTCATTTCAGTATGAGTTCCAAGATATTTTTATGAGGTTTTGTGTTATTATGCAGTTTATGAGACCAGTCTTCTAAAGATTTTGCCGTTTTATGTCTTTCGCTGTAGCAATTCCAAGTGCCTTCCTAAAGGATTTTACTATAGCAACTTCAAAAGTTTATGGTTCCCAAAAAGCTATTTTTAGCTTTAAAAAGGAAAACGTTTTTTGTAAGTTTATAAGGTATTTCTCCCGCCTTCTTAGCGTGCCTTCGTGGTGCGGGGGTCTGCACGCTGGGCGAATATCCAGAGGTCCGTGGTTGGATCCCTGGTGAAAGGTTTACTCATTTTTCAAGTCTCCTGTTTCCAAAATACCTAATGTCTTTACAAGGTAATTGAGTTTTATCAGGCAGAAGAGCATATAGGAAAGATACACGGCTGCTTCATCAGAAATACTGGTTTAAAAGTTCCATCATCAAAACAATATTTGCTTTCTGCTAGAGATTGTAATCCGGTGTTTGTTGAAAATAACGCTTTATAAAACTTTGTCCGTCTCTCCCTCGTCATTAATTAAGAAATTTTCTGTACAGCTATTCGGTAATACCAGATTTTCTGTACTTTGTGACATAATCGAGGATCCTGAAACTTTGTAGGGAGACTTTCAAAGATGCACATTCCGTAATTCCTGCTACGAACTCTAATCCAGAATCCATAGATCTGGAAACGACTCCTTATAAACTTTCGATACAGAGGTTAATTCTGCTTGAGCACGTTTCTTGCATTGATCAGAACGTTAAAACTTTCACTCTAGCAATACCCGAGGCTTAAAATTATTCATTCCCCCTAGATAGAGTATTAAGTAGCAAAGTTCCAAACAATTTGTTTTTCGGTGTACACGTCTCGAGTTTCCAGACGCACGTTTTTGTTTAAAATGACAGGCATATCCCTTATACGCTACAGACGGTTTATCTTTTGGTTTCTAAAAATTCAAGAAGTAAAGAAAGCTCATTTTTCCTTGACGAATATAATTGAAACATAGTTGAGTATAATTCTAAATAAAATGATAATGTGTAGTTTATTTAGTTTAACCTCTATTTTAAACACCTGCTACCCCTATCTTTTCTAACCAACTATAATAAAAGGTTAAGAATAAAAAGGCTGAAATTGTGTAATTTCTGATATTTTTATCAAGAACACTTGCAAAATGGGAAGAGGGATCTGAAATGGAACGATTTTTGTTGCCACCTACGCCTCCAGAAAGCCTGAAAAACGAATGCCCGAAATGGGACATCATACGAAATGAATTGACTGCGCAGTGCTTAAATGCAGATTTACTGACCGGGCTTAAAGCAATTATTTTCGGTTTTGAAAATGTATACTATAAAGTACAGTCACGTTAAATACACAGGAAAACTTTCCTGACACTGCTTACCTTGTCACATGAAAATTTCCAGACTTGGATGCAATATAAAATAATTTACGGTACCTGAAACTACCAATTTCATTTAATTTAATGCAGAAATCAAACCACTGTGATCAGTAACTGAACTAGTCAACAAATCGAACTGACTGAAGTATAATTCTCACTGTCATATAACAATTAAATATAACGACATTTTTCTTGAGTAATACAACATCAGAACTAATCGTATCAAACTGATCCAAGAAAATATTTCAAGTGATTAAAAATTACATTTTTATTATCTACGAACAAAAGTGATGTCAACTTACTTTTGCACACATATAATAAAGGAAATGACACTATGTTACAGTTTCAAAAATATTCGTTTTTCCTTCACTGATGACTTCATCGATGACTAAACTAGAACTGGAAAACTGTCTTAGTTTAGATAAAAAATTTCTTCATTTCTCTTTTTTCCTCCTTTTATTTTTTTTTGGGGGGAGGGGGAGGTTTGGTTAACAAATAACAAATTGTTGGGGTAATTTTCTGAAGGTCAAGAGTAATTTTATCAGTTAGCTGTTTGGTTTTTCACTAGAGCAGTTCTCTTTTTCTCTTTCGCTTTCGTTCAAAGAAGTTTTGTTGTATTGTTAACGATACATTTAATAGTTATAGTTGTAGACGTTTATTTAAATTTATTTTATAGTTTACAATTTCAAACTGTAGATATAATATTAGTTAATTTTTTTCGGATTTTTGATTATTTTACATATGGATCGGAGAGGACTAGCCATTTCTGAAGCACTGAAAGTGCTACACGAATTGCTTTCAGATAGTGAATCTGACGGATCCTAGTATATGTACTAAACAGGCAATATTGGGTCGCGCTTTTTTCAAAGATGGAATCACATTCTTCGAAAAGTACCACCATGAAAAAAAAAAAAAAAAAAAAAAAAAAAAATAGAAGTGTAAATATTATATATAAATAACGTAAATCCTATACCCAAGTTACTTTTTTTCCATCGTACGCATGTAATCATCATATAACAACGAAGAGCTTTTTATGGGGTGTAGAGTAGCAAGCCTCTTCATGGCACACCCAGAGTAATGCTAAATCTCCTACGGTATTCAGAATCTAGTGTTTTTTAATCATACGCAAAGTCTCTTACTCTTTTAAGCGCTTCCCAGCAATGCTCGTTTCAGCACTCTTTTCGAAACTCTATTCATTCAGTATGCTCGCTTCGGGCACACCCACAAAATTAAAACGATAAGTGCTATCTTAACAAAATTTTACCTGTGTACTCCTGTAGGCCTGATTAGACTGCCTAGCTTTTTTTTTTCTGTGCCGAAAAGGGTTACTGGCACTTCGTCTCAATGGCGTAACTAGAACTCTTGGACCTCTATGCAAAAATTTTCCTGGGCCCCCCTCAATAAATTTAATGTGCTTAAAAATAAAAATTAAAATTAAAATTTTTAAAAAGTTAAAAAAATCAAGGATTTCACGAGCCAGTGTTTTTATGATGAATTTTATTACATCTGGATTATTTGTTAAAAAATAAAAGCACATCCTTAGGGAACCAGTTGAAAGGTACGTAACATGAAGAAAGAATAAAAAGGAAAATATTTTCCCTTGATCAACTGTGAAATTTGCTTTAGTCTGGGTATTTGATATCAGATGATTTTAATCAGTTATTTAAGACTTTTTGTGTGCGTGCGAGAGACAGACTTTTCTCTCCTTTCACTGAGATACATACTGATAATAAATGAATAAGTCTATATAAAAAAAAGGAACATGTCACGTAAAGTATAGCATTAAGAAAAGTAAGAAAGCTTAGTTTTACGGAGATTTTTTATATAAAATCCAAGAGGTTTTACATACAAATATGTTTTGAATTTTTATATAAAATCTGCACCAATCTAAGTTTTTTTTCGCTTAATTTAGCAAACTTAAATAACTGGTTATATTATAAAACATTGAAAACAATATATTCTGTGAAAATAGAAGAGAAACACGCCGAGTGAAACAAAATTAGTAACACAATAACCTTAAGTTTGGTGTAGATTTATGTTAAGATCTCAAACAATTTCTAGGGCAAGCAGGTTTAGGTCCCTCTTCGTCAGAAGTAAAGAAATCTACAAGACTGAAGAATAGTCATATTTTTCAATTGCGCCAAAATATGTGTAAATATTTTATTTTTGAATGATTTTTTTTTTACCAGGGTAACAACTTTTATTTTATAATATTAGCTATAATTTTATAAAAGCTCCTTGCCTTCATTTCCGAAAACTCTCGAACATAGTCAGAAAGATCAATTTCTTTAGGTGTATCTTGCTCTACAGAAATTAGAGCAAGATTTGTCAGCCTAGTCTCCGTCATAGAAGATCTTAAACAAGTTTGTATGTATTTTAATTTTGAAAAAATATCTCTCTCCACTTGCAACTGTTATAGGAAAGGACAGCAAAATTCGAAGTTCCACTCCAGTATATTTGGAAAACATTCAAGATTTTATACATATTCTAAAATGACAAGGGGCTCCGCTCCAGGAACGATGTATTTTGACAGATCTTCCAGTTCATCACAAAGTTCCGAAGCGTTCAGATTACTCGAATGTTTATTTGTGAGTTTCAATTTCTAGTCTTTGCGTCTATTCAAAAGTTCTCTGAAAGATGTTTGAGGGTTCCTACGTCGTACAGGAAACTGTACCGTAGTATGCTCCGTATTCCCGAGTAAGTTCAAATCTTTCTTCTACAGAACGAATAGCAATGTCTAACGTGTAGAAATACAGTTCTACTTTAAATTCCTCTTCCAACACTTAGTATGTTTTCATATGAAGCCTCGTACCCAAACAATCTACGTCGCCTTAGGGTATGATGGACTGGCTAAAGGAAGGGTAGATTCCTAACGTTTCTGCCATTTAATTTTCTTCGGAGATGAAATCTATTAAATTATTATTATCACTTCTACAACTTTCTAAATATGTTTTCTCATTCTGCAGAGCTCCGACAGCTGACTGCAGATTCGTCTTTATACTTTGCAGAATTTACTCGCGTGGTTTACATGAATATCATGCCAAATAGCAACTGAGACGAGAAATTTTAAATTTTGTCTGC